CCAAAACCATATTTATTTATTTATTTTATTGAAGCCAATCGGCATTTAATATATGAAAGTAGTAAAGTATATAAATTAAGGTCAATGATAACAGTTCAATTAATTAAACAATTATAAAATTTCAATGATAATAATAAATGCAAAAATACTTATTATCACAATGGGGTACCTTGAGTTATAAAATTATCTAAAATATATAATTCATAAGCAGCATGAATCCAGTTAAAGTTTAAACAGAGTGATTTTTTAAGCATGCTCACTTCTCATTTTTCTATTAATAGAATATAGATATATTTATTTAAATTTTGATTTTTAAAATTTTATGTATACCTATAAAGACCACTTTTCAAATTTCTGATATTTTTTGTACTACCTAAGGTGTGTACTGTGACGATAAAAACTTACAATTTTTAAATGAGAAATTCCTCTCCCCTTTTACTGAAAAATATTTATATTAATATTAAATTAATAAAATAATAAGTATCTGTAAATTTAATAACAAACTATAAACTTACTATCTGTTTCTTTGAGCTGAATATTATTATTGTTAGTGACACTGTATTTTGAACCAAATTTTGATTTCATCAAGTCACTTGAAGAATCTAACAATTATAAATTGTTTAAATAATAAAATAATAAGAATTTTATTTTTAAATTTATACCTAATTTCTTATTGTTATTGCCTTCGTCATTCGCAAATAATACTTTTTTTATACGCATACTATTACCATCATTACTTTTTTCAAAGACCATAGTAGTATCATCGTTTTTTTCTACACTCCCATTTTCCAATAGGAGAATTTATATATTGAATTTCATGATCACTTGAGATTATTTTATTTTTATCAGAAGACAAGTACTTTATTCCAGCAGAATCATCGTCACTAACATCATTATCAGAGACTAAAAATCACAAAAAATGTATTTAATAATCAATAATATTCGAAAATAGATATTTAAAATGTATCAATGTTTAAATATAATACATTTTTTAAATTTCTTTTATCAAATACCGTGTCAGTTTTAGGTTTCCAATGAGAATCTTTGTCAGAATCATCTCCACAACTATCTTCATAATCTTTAATTTTTAGTTCAGATTTTTGTGATGTATGCTCTAAAAAAATATTATTGATCATATTATGTTGAGGCAATACTCATAAATTTCATCAAGCCAATATATTAGCGTACGGAATATCAGCAGAAAGTAGTTAATAAACATTAATGAAAAAACTGAGATCAAGTACATGTAAAAATAGTAATTCTTTTGGTATCTTTATTCACTCTGTATCTTGATGGAAATGTATCTGCTGCTATTAAGCTATGTGATGACTTTGATATTTTTCTTTTCAAGTTTGGGGATACACTTGAACATTTTTTTTTCTTAACCGCTTATGTTTAACCCTATCATCTTCTGTGTTAGATAAATTAGACTTATGTAGAGCAATAATTAATTTTGATCTAGCCTCTGATAAACTTGCTAAGGTATTTTAAAAATTAAAAGAAAGAATTAATTACAAAAATCAAAACAAATTAAATATTAAAATTAACATTATAATATTTTACCATAACTTTTGTCTTTAAATTTTCTGCTGGATAAAAGAAAAATTCCTGATTAGGTATTTTACGCTTTTTTATGAATTTTTTGATGTTTTTAAGGTCCTTAAGCCAAGCACATTTGTTATTCTTAAACCATATATGTGGTACTGCCTCAACACTGTTGTCATTTAAAAAATGTACAACATCTCAGAAAGCCATAAGCTGAAATAAATATAAAAACAAATATAATATTATGTGTAGTCATTTCCTCTTGATTCAGTAATAAGTCAATGAAATTATCCTCATGTTAAATTTGTGCTTAACAGTTACTTTTCATGTGAAGTATATTATTTAAAAGTATATTTAATAAATATCTAACCTGAATGGGTCATTGAGACACAATTATCTGATATATTTAATTTAACGTTTGTTAAATAGCTATAAACTGCCCATTATTATGGTTTAATATCATTAATTTTTTTTTTATGTTTGTGATTGACCAATAATTTATTTTTTTTTAAATATTTTTAACTATAAATATATCAAGTATTGTTGAATCAATTGGATTATCAAAAAATACTGATTTAAATTTAAAAAGCTTTCCAATAATAACAGCCTCACCATTTTTTTGTGTTATAATATTTAAGCATTTTACAATTTGTTGATCTTTGGTTAGAATATAACTATATTTTTCATATTTTATTTTAATATTAATGTTATTAAAGCATAAAACATAATATTGAAGTCCTGTAATAATGTCAATAGTAGGACCATTTGTGTGTTGTTGTTTTAACAGTGGTTTATCTTCATAATTTTGATTAAGATTAATAGATAAGTTTTTCATTTCTTCATCAATTCCAGTTGCATCACTATTATATTTCTCAATATTTCGATTATTTATTTAATTATTTATTATTTGATGTAAAGGTTTCTCGTGTTTTCTCAATTATGACTTTAACTCCTTCATGTAGTTTTCAAAATTAAATGTACTACAGTTATCAAGTGGCCCATATAATTCATAATCATCACATATATGTAAAAGCCCGTGAATGTTGTGTGACACATAGTGTTTACCATATAATAATTCAAATTGTTTAACAAAATAATCAAGATGCTGTCTTGCATGATCTATCATATGATCACGATCTAGACTTAGTAATATTAACATTGAAATGTTTAATGACATATATATTATTATATATAATAAAAAGTTCTTGCTCAAATAACATTTTAAAAACGTTCTTACGTAATTAATTCTTTAATGTTAGAAAATTAATAAAGATTAATATGCAAAAAATTTTATGAAAATAATATTATGTTAAGGTGCTTTTTTAATATTAGTAAAATATTTTAAGGTCATTATCAGGATAATGTTGTACACTCAGCAACAAATCTGTAACATTGAGAAAATATTCTATGTATAATATTCGTAATATAACTTTTTATTAATAATACAATAACATTATATTATAAATATTGTAAATGTAATCCAGTTATAATGTTATTATAATATTAATGTTACTAAATTGCTGTTTGGGAATTAAGGTGTCTACACCCAGTGCCGTATAGGTATAATGTTTGTGTTATAATAATAATGTTATTTGTTTGCCATACTCCATAATGTTTGGTATCCAAGTTGTCCAATTATATACCCACCAGCTCCCCATGTACCCACCATCGATGAGAGTACATGCAATTGCATCCCTTGGTAACCTTTCTGGGCGCCAATGGATGCCGGTATATAAATTCGATGATAAACGCAATCTCACTAATTATAGACCTATTTTTAAGTTATCAATTATTCCAAAAATGTTTGAGGCGATAATCACTAAAAAATTTAATTATTCCTTCTATATTTATCCTAATTAATACGGCTTAAAACTTAGAATTTCTATTTCCACCAATTTCTTGCTTTATCAATCTAAAATTGCAAATATCTAAAATGTAAATATTTCTGTTGAAAAGAGTCTTAACCATCTCGTTCCTTGTGATTCCTTTCACCCAACATTAGAGATTTCACTTTTAACCATTCCTCATATACCCTTTGCAAATAATTCCTATACATTTTTCGACTTTCGCAAGTCTGACTATCCAAAAATAATTTCTTTCCTAAATTCTTTCAATTGGTCCTCAACTTTACTCAACCTTGATGCGAATTCAGCAGCTTATTGCCTGTATAATGCCTTACACTATTCTATACTCAACTTCGTTCCCGAAATTCGTTTTACTCCGTCAAAGTTTCCTCCCTGGTTAACAAAGGAATTAAAAACATTAGTGTTCGTTAAAAAATGAGCACATGCCACTTTCAAAGCTTCACACAATCAGCAGGACTATTCTGCATTCTCTAAATTACGTGCACAGTTTAAATACTTGTCTAAAAAATGTCACAATGATTACCTAACTCATATTGAGTCCCAAATTCTTAGCAACCTTAATTTTTTCTGGAAATTTGTACGCAAGAGTCGTTCAAGCTCTGGCCCACCAAATGTCATGCATCTAGACGCTGAGTATTACTAAGGTAGGGAACAAATAGCTAACATGTTCTCTACTTCGCTTCCGTTTACAAACCATCTAGTAGCTTTACCTTACCTAGTACCCCATTTATTTACCACCCATTGCCTAGTAACTGTCACTTTTCAGTTTCCAATATAGAAACTAAATTAAAAACCCTATCAAACACTACAAGTGCTGGTCCGGATGGAATTCTTGGTTTTTTCTTAGCTAATATTAATTCTGTAATTTCAGTCCCCCTATGGATAATATTTAGACTCTCACTTGATGACGGCATCTTCCCTGACATTTGGAAATTATCTTCTGTTACTCCTATCCACAAAACCGGAGATCAAGATGACATCTGTAATTACAGGCCTATATCTGTTTTAAGTTACCTTGCAAAGCTCTTTGAATACCTAGTTGTCCGTAGTATTCAATCTCCAGTTAACTTTATTCTTATTGATGAGCAATATGGCTTTCGGCCTAATAGATCCTCCACTCTCAATAGTATCGTATTTAACAACTACACTTTACAGGTTCTTGAAAACCATGCTCAAGTAGATGTAATTTTCACTGAAATCTCCAAAGCTTTTGACCAAGTAGACCATTATATTCTCATTGATGTGCTTTTCAAAGCAGGCTTCGGCGAACCGCTACTATCTTGGTTCAAATCCTACATAACTATGAGAAAGCAATGGGTAAAAATTTTAGATTGTCGCTCAAGTTTTATAAACGTTACTTCGGGGGTCCCTCAAGGTGGTCATCTTTCTCCTATTCTATTTGCTATTTTTATTAACGGCTTGAATACAGCTCTTAAGCACTGCCGTTTTTTGGCTTTTGCTGATGATGTTAAATTATTTTCACGTATCAACTCCATTGATGATTGTATACGCCTCCAGAGTGAATTCAATTGTTTATAAACCTGGTTAGAGAACCATGGACTATGCCTCAACATCAGCAAATGTCAGATTATGTCCTTTACTAGACGCCAAGCTACTTTTCTATTTGATTATTCTCTTAACAACCATTCCATAACACGAGTTTCTGTAAAGAAAGATTTGGGTATCCTTCTAACTTCCGACTTAGACTATCACTCCCACATTGAGCACGTCACCTATAAATCTTTAAAGACTTTAGGTTTTATAAAACGTTTCTCTTCTAATTTCAATCTAACCTATTCTCTCAAAAATTTATACTGTTTGCTTGTAAGGCCGATAATAGAATATGGTTCCATTCTTTGGGATCCTTATACAACCTCAGACTCTTCCCTACTTGAGCATGTTCAGCGTAAATTCCTTAATTTTGCTTCCTTTGCTTTTAATATCCATCATGAACCTCATGATTATTCCCCAGTCTTGCTCCACTTACAACTCAGTAGTCTTTCCGATAGAAGAGTCTTAGCCAACATTAACTTCCTTAATAAATTTACGAATGATACCATAAATGCTCCCGAGCTTCTCGCTGAGGTAAACTTTCGTGTTCCAAGTAAATCTTCCAGGCTAATGGCCCCCTACTACGTTCCTCGTCACACCACTAACTATGGCCGAAACCACCCTATCCACCGAATGATGCGTTTAACAAATGAGAACTTCTCTAGTCATTAAGCCTTAATTTTTGTTTACCTAATTTATAAATATGTTTGTCTGTTATCTTATTCCGTTTAATTATACTTTGGGCTAGTCCCGTAATGTAATATAAAATAAAAAAAAAAAATAAAAATAAAATAAAAATTTTAACCTAATTCAATAATCATGTTCAAATTGATTCCATTTACACAGAATTCCAAAAAGCATTCGACAAGGTTAATCACATATTACTTTTTCATGAAATTAACAACTTTTGGTTTCAGAGGACAGTTTTTAAGTTGGGTAGAATTATACGTTATTTGTCATACCGAAGCAGTAAATTTATTTATTTTTATTCCAATTATTGTAGTTTGTGTTCGAGTGTACTCCGAGGTTTTCATTTGGGCCCTCATTTTTTCATTTTGTTCTTTAATGATTTACCCACTGTTATTGATTCTTCAGTAAACTTGTTATTATTTGCCGATGATGCCAACATATTTTGCAAAATATAATCTCTCTCTGATGCAGTAAATGTACAGTCTAATCTGGACAAGCTTATAAACTAAACAAATCAATAAATAAAAATAACTAACTACAGTCAACTCGCGATATTACGAATTTCAAGGGATCATATAAAAAGTACGTTATATCGAAAGTTCGTTACATTGAAATTCATTACATCAAAAGCAATTAGGTTAGCAGTGTTATCCAAATTTAGAATATTACAAAATACACTGTCGTCAATATTATGTCTTTGTAAAAAATTTAAGACGGCGCGGCGATCTAATTTTGCTTCATTCGAGCTTACGGGGGCTCTTCGTCATCAGTTTTATTCAAAATCTCATCATCATTGAGAGCTCCACAGACAGCCAAATCTTTGTCGAAAGCAATAAACTTATATTTATATTTAATACAATTTACATTTAAAGGACGTGTATCATATAAACGATACATCTTATCGCATAATAATAGCCGAAACAAACTCGTAAGACGTGGAGTATCAATCTCCAAAATTGTAAAAATTCGTTACATCGCGTGAACTTTAGCCAAAAAATCTTCGTTATATCGAGGGGACCAAAATACATTTAATTTTTCGTTATATCACGAGATTTTTAAGGGTATCACAATTTTATACGTTATATCGAGGTTTTCGTTGTATCGAACTTCGCTATACCGCAAGTTGACTGTAATTAACTAATAAATAAATAACTAATCAATAAATATAGTATCATTACATTCACTCGCCTTCATAAATCTATTTTGTTTAACTACTTAATTGACCATGCTTACAAGAGTCAATTTTACCAGAGACTCAGGAATTGTATTTGAATATAGCATGTCTTGATCCTCACACGTACATTTGTTTATTAATAAAGCTTTCAAAATGTTAGGTTTCATTTACAGAAACAGAAAATTTACAAAAACAAAATCTATGAAAATATTATATTTCTTACTTATTAGGTCTTACATAGAATTTGGCTCTCTACATTTTATTTGTTAAGTAATTATTAATACTTACTGTACTATTGTTCTTATGTTCTAAAGGATTCTTACCCGTTTATAAATAAATAAATATTCAACTATGTGTCTCCAACAAAATTTTCCCATCGACCATTAAAAGGTCTCCAAATGAGTTTAAATGTCAAAACAATGATAATTGTTTTTTTTTCATATTGAAGGTATTGTTCATTATGAATTTGAATTCCTTGGACAAACAGTAAATTAGGTATTTTATAAAGAGGAATTAATTTATTTTCGGAAGAGTATTCGTAAGAAGTGGCCAGAAAATAGCCAAGAGGAACTTAGTTTCTTCACCACAATGTTCAGCGTTGTCGATTCGTGAATTTTTGGCTAGTAAAAAAATACCAGTGGTCCTACATCCTTTCTGTTTTCCTGGCATTATGTGATTCTTTTCCCGAGAATAAAACTTTCGCTTAAAGGACAATAGTTAGTACTTTGTACAAGATGTAGAGAAAATAATAGCAAATACAGTAATATAACTTAAAGCTATAACTTCGGAACAATTCCACAAGACTATCAAAAAGTGGCACGATTGTTGGGATCACTAGTTGGAGAAGTTTATCTTGAAGAAGATGTCTTTAAATAATATTCAATTTAATTTTTGTAATTATTAAAAATAGAATGGTGGCACTTTTTGAACAGACTTCATAATTGAAAAGTAATTGAATATGGCGATGGTTAGACCTTAAACAGAAGGACGTTTATATAATTGAATTATCGCGGAAGTATGGAATATAGGGTTGAAGGAAATTATTGTATTATTAAGGAAAGGATGGGCGGAACACTTAGGGTAATTCACTATTTATTATTTAAATCAAGGAATAGCTGTGGTATTGTTTTAAAAGGAAAATAAAGATATTTAAGTATTTACTTGCGCATCTTAACTTTGTGTATAGCATTAGTTAATATCTCTATATTGTTGGGTATAATTGAGAAAGTCCGTTTATTTTAAATTACTTGAGTCATTTTGTTTGCTTTAAAAGGCTATATAGCGTATTTATCTTGTATTATTATAATATAACTAGGAAACGTTCAATCAGAAAAGGCTATTATAGTTTATTAAAAAAAAAAAAAAAATTCAGTTTAACGAGGAAAGATAAACAAAACACTGTACGTGATATATATTTTCTTATGATTCATGTTATTGTACTGCTGTTTTCTTTAAAAATTTCTATCTGATTATTTTGCGAAAAACACCTTACACCTTTCAAAATTCTTTAGATTGTTAAGTTGCATAGAAAATAATTTCATTTTAATTTTTTTTTATTTCGATACTATTATTATTTGTAATAATAGTCAAGTACACATTTTCGTTGTATTTTTATTCAGAAACGGAAATAATGCAAACATCATAACATAAAGAATATGACGTGACTATCTTGTTTTTTTTTATTCTAATAAACAATTATAGAAATATTTTTTATGTAAAAATTATGTTGAAAAACATGATTATTCATATCGCATGAATAACAACTCTGTTAACGGTTTTTTTTATACTTTAGTTCTTACATTTCAGATAGATCATGGAAAATACGATATTTGCGTCACTCTTTTGCTATTATGGTATCAAATAGAAATTGTTGTTCATCTGCGTTGGAATATCTATAAATGTATCTTTTTGCAAGAATGTATATAGTTGTCTTTTTTTTTTTTATCATTTTCTTATATATTATCACCGTTTTATATATTACTCGTACATCGTTTCCAATTATTAAAGTTAGAATATTATAATGTAATAAATAATATATTGTCAAAAATGATCTGTTTCCACCGGAAACCACGGATCCACGACAAAGGAGTAATACAGATATTTTAAAAAAAATTACAATTGGCTCTTTTTAATTTTATTTAATTATATAATCTATATTTTACATAAAATGTTTACTATGAAAACATAAAAATACTAATAATAGATATTACTTATATACACATTTTACTCAACTATTATATTAATATATTGTGTTATTATAATAACATTGTATAGTATATAATTATAATAATAAGATTTAACACTATTTAATTTTAAAAAATAAATAAACAATTATTAATAAATATTATAATCGATATCCAATATCTAGACTACATATAACGGCGAATTCAATACTGTAGAAATGACGTACAGTAAACCTAGTGAACGTCGTATAGCTATTGAGCCAAACATAACACATAATAAACAGTGCTCGACTTGGCAAAATTAAAGAAGAGGGACTCTATTTAATTTAAAAAAAAAGAACGTCCCCAAAACTGGCTGAGCATTATGATTACAGCGTAATAATAGTAAGGGGACGCTAAAATTTCTGAAAATTAGTTGGGGTACTCCGTCCCCCTGCGTCCCCCCACAAGTCGAGCACTGATAATAAATGCTCTGCTGAGTAAATCGAATGCGATATTACGTTACTATAATATTCCATTTCCCCCAATCGTGAATTCTTAGAGTAGACTTTTAAAAACTAAATAATATTACATAATGTTAATACATAATATATATAATGCTACATAATATATTATAATAAGTCATTGTTATTATTATTATTATTATTATTATTATTATAATAGTTTACAACAAGTATCATTTTATATAATTCGGTGATAGTTGGTGCTTCGGGTCGTATATAGGGAATATCGAACTAATATTATAATATATAGTAAACACTTAAAATGTATACACAAATGTACAATTTCGTAAGAAATAATATTATTCAAAATAATGCATCTCGATACACAATGGATTCTATAAAATATGTTTTATATAATAATATGTTGGTACAAAGCAATGATTATCATATAGAAAAACAATGGCATAAGACCTAAAGGCGTACTACGTACACTATAAATAATCAATAGTGTAATATAATATATATATTTATTATATTCAAATTATTTATTGAAATCTAGATTATTAAAAATAAATGTTATTAGTGATAATGGAAATTGGCTTAATAGTCAAGCACCGATGAGAGTACTTAGAGTTTATTCGGTTTTTTACAAATGTTGATAATAATTATTAATTAATTATATTCTCAAGTAGACATGACTGTGTTTGTATTGATTTTAAAAATGTAATAAAATATTGTAATTTGAAGTTGTATTTTTTAAAGCACTATTAAAACACTGACCTTATTTATTCACTATTTGGATGTTAACACCGTATATTTTGTATATATTTTTTAAACAAACATTCTCTACATACGTAATAAATACAATCAATCATAGGTGTACCTAGGTACGTAATAATATGAAAATGAAATAATTTCAATCGGGAATAAAATTTACAATAACCCGACGTATAAAAATAAAATTAAAACATTTACAAGAATGTATTATTAAGTATAATTATAACAAAATATGGTAACGGCTTCAGTAGAAATGCAAATAATTAATACGAGTGACAGGTACAAAAAGTAAATTGTAATGTTGTTGAGAGAACGCGTGATGGTCGAATGGGATAGGTGGGCGAACATATATTGGGTTTGTGGAGTATTTCCATCCTAGTGGAATTTACCATGGTTTTATGCGATTAATTATGTAGAATGCAGAATGATAATATTCTGATAGTTTATGAGAACGATTGATATAGATAGGAAAACATGTCTAAGTTATAGTACAATACCTAAATCTGCATACCGTCGTCCTCATCTTATTGCTGCGGCCACGAACAACCGTCGTTCAATATTGGACTGTTTTAGTTCTGAAATCTCCGTTTTCCGCTCTTAAGTCTCAATATCCTACATGGTATGTGCGGTTGTTTGTCACCACCAGGGCGACGGGAATGATCGGTAATTCTGCACGTGGTACTCGTCGATACGCCATAACCATAAAGATAAAGCAGTACGAGCGTACGGTAGAATCTCCCGGTAAGTCCAGGTGTTAAGGACCAGGAAGAGGGGTATGTGACGTTTGAAGTTTTTCGAGTAATGCGAAAATAATAATCGGCTATAATTAATTCGTTTGACAACTTTTCATGGTTATTTTTACATCTGTCATCGCAATTAATACGTCTTAACGGATTAAATAATAATTTTTTTCGTTGCACGGCCTGAGGGTATTCTTTTTAGCCTACCCCTCTCACGTATGGACGTAAGAGATCTCAACAAGAACGGTCGACCTCAGTCTGATCACAACAACAAGTGAATGCGTTTCGGCTGTTGACAGAAACCAACACAAATGCGATTTCGTATCCTAGGCAGGACCACCGTCCTAAGAGAAGCAACCTCTCCCAAAGTTAACTGTTCCAAATACAAGTTACATCTAACTGATCTTTACCAAACAACACAACATGTACTACTGATGTGCCTTGGTGCCAAAGCTCTCTTAAAAAATAATATTTAAAAAATAAGAAAAAACACGTCTTGTACTATTGTCACTGTGCAATGTTTTTAAAATAACATTACAAAAGTTAGAATGTTCGTCCCGAAAATGGTAAAATGTGCAGATGGTTGGGTATAGGTCGACGCCGAAGGAATTTATGAACCGTCCATTATTACAGACTATTGGAACGTGTTTACACATTCCAATGAGATGTTTTGCATATCATATTCGAAAACTATTTACAAGCTTTCTCCTAATAACAATTACCAAAAAACAGAATACAGACGATTGTGTATCGACGTAATTCAGACGTAATTTCATTATTATTATTATTATTAAGTATGTGGTCGGCTAACACTCGAACCGAATTTGAAATCGGATTTGTTCGTTCGAGAGCATAAAGATAACATACACAGCACATACGCATGTGTAGTCTATAATAATCAAACACATCTGAAAGCATTTTCGGCTATTTGGATTGATTAAATTTAAAAACTTTTACCGTAGACAAAACGCATGTGTCCACCGAGAAAGTAGAAAGTCATAATCGGAAAATAAATTGTAAAGACGACGAGATCATCGTTACTATTTCTTTTAAAAGCAAATAAAATATATATAAATTCGTATATGTTTATATATTGGTTGCCACAACGTGAAATACGATGTAGCCAATAAATGTAATACGTAAATTTAACTTTGACGACTTGCGTAGTCGTGTTTTTAAAATAACTGTTCCGAAAATGGTTCTTTAACCCTCCGAAATAAAGTGCATTCCCGGGGGTGGATGGCGGCGCGTCATCTTTGCTTTCGATACGTTTTTCGTTAATGAGATCATAATCTATTGAGATCATTGTTTTAGAAACGAAATCAGAACGATATATACATTTATAATAACAGTATTAGTAATATTCTTATGCCATGACAGATGTGTGTGTGTGTGTGTGTGTGTGTGTGTGTGTGTATATGGAAAGTTGTATCGAGACATGTTTTCAAGAGAGACTGACCGTTTCGCAGTGTATGCGTATCCAATTTCGCGTGATTGCAATGAACCGGCGACGTCAAACGATTGATTTTAGATAAATAAATCAATGGTGGTTTTCAAACATCGATGGAATTTGTGAAAATCATACAGAATTAAGGCTCTGAGCCTAAAGACCGAGGTGGCGATAAATCATCTTGCGCGCTCATTGCGATCGTTTTGAAAAATTAGTCCAATATAAAACTACTGCAAAACATCAAAACCTGGTCAACATAAATCACTTTTTTTCATAAAAAAAAAAAACGCAATATATGTATGAATAAACACTACGTGTAATGATTTATACTGAAATATTTTTCAATTTTACTTTTCATAAAAATTTTTCAACACGATGCACTTCATAATTAAAGTTGTTAGTTGTCTCGTTCGGTTGAGATATATAAAGAATATCCAATATTTCATTCAAATTTTTTGTTGTACACACGAATCGTTTATCTCCCTAGGCTGACACTCCAGAGTTCTTGAGATTCTTCGCTGCATCTCTAATTTTAGAGAATCACGGTTATGCGTATAATAATAATTTTAAGTTTAAAAAATTAAGTTTTGCTAGTTTAACATCTGGAAAACATTTTGGAAATTAATAATTTTTCATTTACCTAAAAATATTCGTATAACTACACACGTCGATAAATTATATAAAACATTATGTGTCAGTTTAAATTATTTTTAATATTATGTTTGTTAACAATATAAATAATATAATTAAATTCGTCATCAACTACATGAATCTCTCTATGTGCATTAAACTCTGTGTTTCATTCGTCGTATCGTTCGAAGTATTTATTGTTCTGGGTATACATTTTTTGTTACTTACTGTTGCGAATAATAATTTTATGAAAATGAAAAATAACTGTGGAAGCATATTTGGACGTGGTTAGGTAGACGGTTGGTAGAGCGTTTTAGACTTACGATGTTTACACCGATAAAAAAAAAAAAAACAATATATGGTTACACTTCAATAGAGAATCGTTTTACATAGGTAAGATTTTGTACAGATCATTTGAACAATGTTGTAACACTCTGATAATAGAGACGGTGGTATTATTTTGAGCTTGAAAAAATAATAATGTTTTTTGTGTGCGCTTCAATGCAACGAATATAAAACATCAAAGGTAAGTCGGCCTGCAAAAACAACAACATGAACTGACATTGGTGTATATTGAATTCCGTCTTCCTTTTCGTTTCCATTTGCTGTTTTCTGGTTCTAACGCCGCGTTTTTTTCTGAAAACATTAATAGAGTTAACAACAGAAACAATAACAATACATAATAATGAAACAATATTAAAATTTATTATGAAAACTATGCACAGTGTGACAAAAGCTGCACTTTATATACATTAATTGAAAAAAAAGAATGTGTTTTAAGTTTATATTTGACTATATTTGTCTATCTATTTACCTATAGCAGTCCACAACCAGTCATTTGATTAACAGTCTAATTAAGCCTTAATATTTCGGTGAAATTTGAATACAATATAATTTATGTTAGCCGAATTGATCTGGAGCCCCGGACGGATGTGAAAACGATAAGAACATTTTTTTTAAATATTTTTCAGTTTACTTTTACTGTTGTTATAATATACGAGTATTTACTATACCATAATACTAATGTTTTCCTTTTCATTGTTGGATAATGCATTTTTAATAACTATAAATGTTTTCAACCTGTACCATATATGTTTTCCATATTCGAGTTCCATCTCAACCCAATACTAGGGTCTATACTAGACTTTCCCATTTCTACGTAATATTTATTAGATTATATTTGCAATATTTTCAAGAGACTTCCGGTATTGAAAGTTTTTATGAATTTGAAAACTCCGCAGTAAAATTTAAAAATAAATATGTTGGTAAATAGTAAATGTTTCGTAAATGCTTAAATATTTTATATATTGTATACTCATATGTATAAATGTTTTAAAAAATATTTCTACACCAAAATGTTTAAAACAATCTCATAGAGAACATACTTACTATGTATAAAGAATAATTTTTGAAAATAACTAATTCGTTTTATTTTTTCGTACAGGGAATAAATAAGGGAGGCAGAGCCTAGTGTGTGAAAGAGATTGGGTGAGGGAAAACTTATTCGTTGAATATTGAGCTTTCGAATATAAAATGTAAATAAATATCAAATAAAGAGAGTTTTACTTATAATTACCCAGTGTATTATAGTTTTGCCATTTCCATTTAATCGGTACAAAGCATAATAATAACAATAAAAAAACCACTTTCCCCGAAAATCAATATAACAAAACAGTTAAACATACCAGCTGCAGTGTCTTGCTGGGGAAGGAATTCTTGCATGTCTTGGATGAGTTTTGCCAGATCTTGACTATCTTTGGCTATACTACAAACTTCTTCTTGATTGAAGTCCGGTTGGATTTGTTTGCATAAAAGTATCTGACTAATGACATTACCAATGTTCGATGGTCCAGCTCGGTTCTCTGTGTACATATTAATATAGCGTTTGAAAATTTCAAATTCATTTTTCGACAAAAAGGTGAAAGATTATTTTATAACAGTTTCCTAATTCGGAAGATTTTGCCGTATCTTGGGATGGATATTTAAGATTTTTAAGATATAGGTAAGTATAGGATATAGGATATGAAATCTGACGAGTTTTGTAAACTACGAACCATTTTACGAACGTTTAGATCACGTTCTATAGTTTTCGTTTTTTATAGGTACCTGGTCAAACTTTCTATCTTCCAATTTTTTAAACATTCAAATTTTTTAATATCGATCAATAAATTTCATTGAGTATAATTCAATATTGAAGGTGGTCTGCAAAGAGTGTTGTGTAGTTAATAAAAATTTCCGAATATTTCGATTAAGACAAAATGTCGTCAACGGTAAAATTATCTAAATAATAAAGGTAAAAATATAATCAGCAATAAAAAAGTTATATTTATTTTTTTACTATTATTTAACCATTACAGCGTACCTATACACCACACCTGTAAGTTCTATTGAAGAGTTAATAATATCCCGATGAATAGTATTAAGACTTTAATTATGTATTGAAATTATTATATATATACTTAGTACGTATGGTACTTCTACTTCAATATTGAATAATTTCCAAGAAAAATATACATATTATAATAAAACAAGTCAACAATTGCTAACAAATTTAGTGTACGAAACTCAAACATATGGATAATATTAACTTAATAGAGATGCATAAATAAATATCTAAGAATAATAATCACTTATCTATTGTATGATATTAATGGATTGGAATTGAGAAAAATTTCTGCAGTATATTATCGGTAACTCGAACCTTGATAACTCGATGTCTCGAATAAATAACATTTCTATTCAAATAATAACTAAATTTATCGTATATAATCTTGAAAATTAAATTGGATAAGTTTTAATTATTTCAAATTTTCTTATCCAAAAATATTATCAAAAAAAGTTTATCATCACGATTATTGAAATACGGCTATGTGATAGTGGCTAGTATGAAAAATAAACGATCGTTAACTATTTTAAAAAATTAGGTTTTAGAACTTCAACTGAAAACAATGCTTTTGAAACATAAATTTCTGTTAATAACAAACATAAATGGATCAACGAACGGATACACTAAATCTTAATCAAGTGATTACATAAGTCATACGTAAATGTCAATGAATATTTGTGAAAAATTGAATACGACATTATCGCCGGTATAGTGATACATTGATGATGAATATTAACAAGTACGAATGGCCTAACTTGCCATAATGTGTAAACAAGCGGAACTTGCATTAGAAATATTAGGTTCATATATATATAGCGGTGGCGGTGGCGGTGGCGGCGGCGCCGTGCCGGACCGGACGCAATATTAAATGGAAACTATTAATATTATAATAGCTCGTAAGTTACGTTGCAGCGACGCGCAGCCATTCTCGCGTTCGCACAATTTCTGTACAAAAAAATAATATTCAATATTGTTGTTATATATATATATCTAAAATAAATAAATATAAATTAATTAATTAAAATTAAAAATTAAATTATACGATTAAAATTTTAAATTTAAAAATAGTACAAAATACCAATATAAATAACCAAATATTTTTTATTTTCGTACAAATTACAAGTGAGGCGGTGCCTCACTTGCTTCACCCCCAAAACCGCCACTGATATATAGTGAAACAATAAATGTATGCAAATTATATTTAAATCACTTGGTCATTTAGATTATATAATTGATAACAAATTGTTTAATAAATAAAAACCATTATTAACCTAACGAGTACACCAAGGATTTAAATAAAATATTAGGGAAAATATTAAAAAAAAAAAAAAAAAAAAAAAATGTATTTATTACAAATAATAAAAATGTATGTATATTTTTATGATTTTTGGTAGTTCGAAATTATTATATGTGGACTTTGTTTTATTCACCCTTTGAAATTTTCTAGAGTCAACTGTATAAATAATTGTTTTCATCTAGATGAACAAATAATTGCTCGCTAACGGTTAGGAAGACTAAAATATTCGAAAATGTCATAAATTACGTAATAATATACAGATAGATATACTTTAGGTATACTTACCGAAATATCCAGTCATATCCATCGGGATGAGTTGCACCAGACGGCTGCACTTTCCGAGTTCTCTCAACATCATTTGACACAGGTAAAACAATAGCGCCAACTCTGGGTGATCTAATAGCGACGAATCTAAATTTGTC